AGCGAGCCGCCAGTTTCCACAGGCTTGTCTCAGGCCAGGACGGCCGCCGGGGCGCGTGCATCCCTTAGGTGTGGGTGTGACTCACCCTTGCCTGCATGGCCTTGGGTCCCGATTCTGTCTCGGCGTCTTGTTACCATAGAGTGTGTCCATCTCGTGAGTCACACTTTAACACGAACGCGCTCGGCTGTGTCTAAGCCAAAAAAGCAAGGGCGTATAACCAGGGGTCCCACCTCCCATCCTTTTATGGCCAGAAACTCGAGTTTTAAGATTCCTCTGGGGTCCCCTTGGCCAAGGGGCGGCTTGTTCAGTCAGCCAGGGACTTGGCTTTTGTTCTTGGTTTATGACGCCATTGAGACAAAGAACAGGCAAAGGATGGGAGGGTCCGCAGTGTGTGAGCCTGCCAAAAGCCGTGCACGGAATACCTAAAGGACGTCCACAATTCGGTCACCAGAAACATGGGCAAAGGACGTGCCCAGAGCTCAGAAAACGTGCGAATAGCAAGAGGCGGGTGGAAAATGCCCGACACGGGTCAGCGCCGTGGAAATGCCATGAACGCCACGATGAAACAGCAAGCGGCACCGACAGCTGGACCTTCACCCCTGGGATGCCACCCACAGCCACACACGTTCCCAGGAGAAACAAGCACACATGACCACCCAACACCGGCACAGAGAGACGCGTGACGTCTTCAGACACTGGACACCCACCCACGTTTCCACAGATGAGGAACGCACGGCAGCGTACCCCACACCAGCTGCGTGCGTGAGACGCTCAAAAACAGTCCCCCCCAAACTGTGGCAGACACAAGGCCACACGCACACGTGACTCCTGACACTCCACACCAGACGCTCGCACGGTGCCTCAGAGAAGCTCAAAAACAGTCCTCCGGAGCCGACACAAAGCCGCGCACGTGAGACTCCAGACACCTGGGAGTGGTGGAGAAATGCAGCCCTGCTCCTGTCCGGCGTGGCAGGCGGGGGCTGGAGTAGCTGCGGGGCGACCTCCACGCATCACAGGCAGACTCTGCATCCTGACAGGTGTGTGGATGCCTCTGTCAAAACAACTGAACGGGACACAAGAGCTGTGCGTTCCGTTGCATGTAAGTTATGCCTCAGTAACTAAATAGATGCATTTTCTATTTTGAAAACCTTATTGGAGCCAACAAGCTTAGTAATGGGGTGAAAACGTCTACAAGGCAATGAAAAATGTGGTGAGAAAGTAAACTGTGCTAGACACTCTTCACGGCAGGTGTGGTGGCCCGGGCCTGTAATCCCAGCATTTTGGGAGGATCGCTTGAGCCCAGGCAAGGCCAGCACCAGCTGGACAACACAGTGAGGCCCCTGGGCTTGGTGGTGCACACCTGTGGCCCCCAGCTATTTGGGAGGCTGAGGTGAAAGACCTCTTAAGCCCAGGGGGTGGAGGCTACAGTGAACCATGACCCCACCTCAACAACAACAACAAAAAAAAAAATCTGTTTCAATGAAGAAATGATGCCTCAGGTCGCTGTGAGTTTACAGAAGTCACATCCTGCAAGACAACCCTGCAAAAACCACCAGCTGGGGCGGTGGGTCAGCGACACCAAGGCTCCCCGAAACTCCAGCCCCACAGGCAGCTGGACTAAAATCGGGGGTGGGGGCAGATCATAAGTGGGTTCTCCCACTGAGGAAGCTCGGTACACGCCCCCACGGGTTTCTCACGCTGCGGAACCTGGGTACACACGAGCGGGTTTCTCACACTGCAGAACCTGGGTACACACCCCTG